CCCGCTGACTTTATCAACCAAAGTGTAGAGTCTGAGCCAGCTCCTGCTGAATTATGAAACACAGGTGCTGGAATAGGGGTGGTGCTGCCGCACCCCCTGGCTTGAAGTGGTTTCTATTGTATACATGGTTTACAGTTTAGTTCACAGTAGTGTTGAACTATGCTTGGTAGTGTTTACAGGACTGAGGCTGTAGTTGCTATGAATAAAGGCACTTGACACCCTGGATGAAATCCTGGCCCCACCAAGGCAAAACTCCCATTGACTTCAACAGGGACAGGACTTCACCTCATACCTCCCAACTCATGCAGTGGGGATATTTTAGCATGGCAAACTCAACCATCATCGTATTGTTTCATGTAAGAGTTTACTTCTGGAAAATGTTCTGATTTACTCTCTCATTTGTGCAGCTTAACAAACAGCACAGGTGACCAGGTGAGACTGCTTTCTGGACAAATATTCAGCCTGTTTGTTTTTTAGAAACTCTGCAAATGTTTTTCTATTTATAATAATTCTTCAGTTGCTGCATTGTCTCGTCAGGCTTACCTCTGGTATACAGTCATCATGGGTTACCACTCTCACTATGTCATCCAGTGGCAGGAGTGAATTGCACTTGATCTCCGTATATACATTCTTTCCTTCGGTACATGCTGCTAGCAGTTCCACAAGCGTGACGTGGTAGGCTAAGGGTCCACTCTCATCTGCTCGGTCTCGCTCTGAGCACATCATTTGTAGGAGGACTGGAAATGATGCTCTATCGTTGTAAAATATCAACACATCTTCACCTCCATTGATCAGCTGAAATGATAGTATGAAAGTCTGCCCAACTGTTCAAGTGCCCCACATTGTGTTCACTTTCAAATGATTCGTTTTGTCTGGCAATGTGCAAAATGTATATCTGATTATATACAGAGCACTAGGAAAAATAGAATTTGGCTAACTGAGCGTACATTATCTCAGTTGCATACATCTGGAATAACTCCATTGAAGTCAGTTCCTTCAGAGTGAAATTCAACAGAGTTACTCCAGATTCTACGTCTAGGTCTACATTTATTTAAGTATGTATACTGCTCCCATCAGAGTACCTAAGCTTAACTTAAACGTTAATGTAACCTCAACACTGATGTGAGGTTGGGAAGTATTATCATCCCCATTTCATAGATGGGGAACTGAGGCGCAGATTAAATGGCATGCCAAAACTCACACAGCAAGTCGGTGGCAAATACAAGAACTGAATCCGGGTCTTCTGTGTCTCAGGCCAGTGCCTTAAACACATAACTATCCTTCCCTTCTCTATGTACTAGAGACTATCTGTATCCTAGTATTATTAATGTAAGGCCAGGGATTCCTTTTAAAAGGAAAAAAGAGGCTGCAGCTATAGATATCTGAGATGTGAGTAATATGAGTAACTCATTCATCCTGGAAGGCTCAGACATGCCAGTTAGACACATCCCAGAGTCAGGGTACATGTGGTGCAGCAAAATCCTGGTGGATCTCAGGGAAAAGTTTTGTTCCAAGTAGACAGAGTTCTTCTCTGAGCTCTCCCAGTGCACTCAATATATCTGCTGCTACATCCCTTGGGGGCTTGCAGCTTACTCCCTCTACTGTGCCAGTGCTACTTAGCCAGCTGGCATAGAGTGTATACATGGCCATAGCCCTGCATTTTCCCCATCCCCTCTGGGGCATAATGCACCCTTTGGGGAGATGGGGAGGGGGGGGAGGGACGGGCAGCTCTTATGCATCCCCAAGTGCAAGGGTGGCAACTGTACCTGGTAGAGCTGCCTGAAATTTTTCATTTGACATTTTTTGCACATGGCAGGGATGAAAAATAGGCTCTTTGGAAAGAAAAAACTTTAAAAAAAAAAATAACTTGTCATTAAATTTTCCAGTTTTTCATCAAAACTTGAAAATTTCAAATTTTGAAGTTCAGAATTTTCTGAATTTTATTTTTTCTCCTTTAACCATTGAATGCAACAGAATTCGTGTCATCTAGGGTTTTTTCCCCACCCATTTTTTTTCTCCCCACCCCCTTTTGCCACATCTTAAGTTTTCCAAAACTGAAAAAGTTTTTAAAACTTCTTCAGTTTTGGAAAAATTAGAGTGAGAAAAGGAAAAATGATAAAGTTGGGGGGAAAGTAATAATCCAAACATCATTTATTTTATTGTTCTAAGTGACAAAAATCAAAAAGAAGGGAGAAATGGGGGGAATAAAAATTCAAAAATGTGAAATTTTGACCTTTTTAAAAAAAAATTCACAAAATAATTAAGAAATTGTTCCATATCAAATCCTGCAAGAGAGAAACAAACTTGGAAATTTTTCATGGGAATATTTTTCCGTATGTCAACCAAGTCTAGTATCTGTCCCTTACATAAGCCATTTACAGATTCCTTGCATGCTGCCCCATTTAAGAGCTAGACAAAACCTGGCCCAGAGTCACTTGCTAAAATGTGTCTTGAATGCCGTATGTCCCCTACACTGTGTACAGAATGATCAGTTGCTGAAAAATGAGATTAATTTATTAAATGCATGAAGCAAGATGTTGGATAAGGCAATGGAATACAGAGCTACTTGTGTCGTGACCGTGAGGGAACTTTCAATGTGAAGACATGAACAACACACAGAAAAGAGAGGGTGCTGCATCAGCAAGTATAGTGCAAGTGGAACAAAATGATCATCATAAAAGTAATGGAAGCAGAAAAGTACCTTATTTTCCAAGTTACCCACCCAACTATTTCCCCTCCAGTTTAAAGGTGACCTGGAAAGGGAACCAAACATTGATCCAAGCATAAAATTATACATTTGAATGTCCTCGCTAAAGAAACTCTAAGAAGCCTCCAGCATAAGGTCAGACAAAATTCCCCACTCACAGTTGTGACTGAGAAAATGCTGCAGCATTTTGTCCCATATGAGTAAGTCACAACTAAGCAGTCTAGGTAAATATCAACAAGGATGATCAGTTCTGGATTAGCTGTTGACATTCTGTAATGTACATCATTCTGGAACAAAGATACTAGAAAGCTCGGTTGTTCCATTGATTGGGTCAAAGGGCCCCAAATAAATCCGGTTTTCTTTTTTGTAATAATGTTTGTGCTGATATGGCAACCTGTCATCCAAGAACCTCAGAGCACTTCCCTAACAGTGGCCTCTCAGGAGTCTTTGAGCTAGGTAAGAATCATTACATCCAGTTTACAGATGAGGCGACTGAAGCATAGGAAGATAAGTCATTTGGCTAAAATCACAATGGCCATCTTTTTACCCCTCTCCTCAAAATGGTTCTTTTCTTGATAATTCCTGAAGGAATTGAGATCCAAATGTCAGAGCTAAGTTATTTTCATCATGCAATCATTCTGAAGAGGAAATATAGCAATATCTCTCATCACTAACAAAATATATTTAAATTGAAAAAAAAAAAGAAAAACTGTGTATGATGAGAAGCTCAAAACCTATATGATACTGGAGTGTAGGAGGAAAGGAACTGTAAAGGCACTAATGCATAAGAATTGTTTGAATTACATAAATCAAAGGCTTGCAATTGATATTACATGTTAAAACTCTTCAGTCAAATTGAAAAAGTTGAAATAGAATTCATTAAAGGTTATCCATGTAGGATGAAGTTTTATTTTCTTAATTAGAAGTTTTTCTTCTTTATTGCTGTAAAGAGAATTTTCTGTACATCTCAACTCTACTTAGATCATGACTACAGCTCATCTCTGTTTTCTTCCTTAAGTTTCTTTTCCCAAAAGGAAAAAAAATTGCAAAGGAATGAAAATAATACTTGGGCCCTGATCTTACCAACTCTTAAGCTCATATTTAATTTTACTCACATGAGTGGTCTCATTGAAGTTAATGAAGTTCACATAATTACAGTTAGATGCATGAATAAGTGTGTGAAGCGTTGGGTGGATGGAGCCGGGCAAGCCCCTGCACCCTGACCCCGCTCCCTGGCAGAAGAGCCGGGCAGGCGGAGCAGGACAAGTCCCCGCGCCCTGACCCCATTCCCCAGCTGGAGTGTGGAGGGGCAGGGGGGACTGCAGGCGGAGGGGGTAGGGAGGGCCCCCACTTGCTCTGGCCCATGACCCCACAAAACCCTAGTCCGCCCCTATGTGTATCAAATCATGCTCCCATGAGAACTCACATTGGTGTTTTCCTACTAACTTCAATGGCATAAAGATTTGGCCCTAAGAGTGCTGGTCTACACAGTGAAATTTACCAGTCCAAATTCTGAACTCCATTACTCTGGGTAAATCCACAGTAACTCCACTGACTTCAGCAGAGTTGCTCCAGAATTACACCAATGGAACTGAGATCAGAATCTGGCCTTTGGGATTGTCATGCAGTTCCACAAAATGATTATAACAAAGTTTGGACGAATCTATGTAAGCAAGAGCACATTTTGTTAGAATATAGTGCCACAAAATGGTAAATTTTGCTGGGTAGATGGGATACAGCACAGGAGAATGAAGATCTGAGTATGGAGTTCAAATATTTCTCTGTTGCAAGTCCCAGAACTAGAGCTCTACATACCATCACTGTAGCTCTTGCATTTCACGGCTAGTACTTATACAGATGGCCTTTCTAAATTAGATTTAACTCAAAAATATGTATGCTAAAATATTCATTATTCGTGGTAACATTTAAAATTCTAAACATATAATGCCAGCATGTTTCACTGGCATTAACAGCAGAGGAAAGCAATCTCAGAATATTAGTATGTGTGTTAAACAGATATAATATGAACAGTAAACATACCTCTGTCATTACCATATCCTGGCATTTCTTCACATATTTGCCATCTGCTTTTACAATTGTCTGCAGAAAACGCAGGTACTCCACGTGTCGGCCATGTGTCTCTATACAGTGTACGAAGTGCTGCACTACTCTCTCGCTAATTTCATTGCACAGATGGTAATTGTTCATAAAGGCGTGCCGCATGGTTTCAGCTTCAAGCAGCTAAACAGATTTAAATCAAACAGTCTCATCAGAATGGCAGAGCTAGTTTATATGATGGACTGAGAATGGATACTGGATGAGGGGATCAGAAGTCTCCAGGTCAGAGTAAAGGCACACTGAAAGGGCATCATGGCTGAATCCCCAACATGTGCCTGTTCAATGGGGAAACAGAAGCTTTAGGGACTGATTCTTATTTACCTGGCGTTCCTTTAGGCTACTTTTCCAAAGTGCAAAAAGGCCTAAAATTGTCAAACTAAATTCATACCCACTTTAAGGATCTATACGCTGCTAGAGCTCTGTAAAGGGACTTTAGGGTAACTGAGAATCAAGCTCTTGGTCTCCAGGACTCTCAGCCCAGCACCCTTTACCAGCACTAAATTCACACAGAAATAAAAAATAAATAATGGGCCATATTAATTCTAGAGGGATGTACTTAGGCCATTATGGCCTGTCAAGATTCTGTACTTCTAATATGATTATATTATTTCTAACAAAAGTGGGGTTTTGCTCAGCAGGCCTCTCAACCAGCAAGTTGAAAAGATCCTGGCTCTGCATGACAATGCGTGGCTCGCTAATAACAAATGAAACAAATCAAAAAATTTGGGACATAGATGGGAAGAGGAGACTGACTAAAAGGGGAGGGAAGTGAATACTACACTTTTCACACCTTAGACTGTCCAAACAAGAGGTCAAGTTTTAGGTTAGTTGAAGAAGGAGGACACACGAGTAATATTTATTAGTTAATAAATAATGAATAAATAAAATTATTAATAATAAATAATAATAATTTTTATTACCATAATGCCCAGGGGCCCCAATCATAGACCAGGGCACATTGTGCTAGGCACTGTACAAACACAACATAAAAAAAAATAAGACAGTCCCTGCCCCAAAAAGCTTATCATTGAAGTATAAAACAAGAGATTGATACAGATAGACAGGGGAGTACAAGGAAACAATGAGACAATACCAGTCACCATGATAATTGAAGTCTCTAAGCCACAGGATTTGGGGACTTCAACAGCAGAGTCAAGGGAAAGGGTAGGGATGGCTTTTTGGCCTGCATCATGCAGGAGGTCAGACCAGATGATCATAATGGTTCCTTCTGACCTTAAAGTCTATGAGTCTATGAGATAGGTTGTGGTCTCAGCACACTAGCCGTCTAACCCATGTCATCTTTTGTAGGCATCTTGGCAAAGGAGAGATTTGAGGAGGGGTTGGCAGGTGGAGAATGAAGTAGCTTTGTGGATGTTTACGGGAAGTACCTCCCATGGGAGAAAGCACAAAGGTGCTTGTTTGAAAATTTAACTAGCTGGGCTGTGGAAGCTGACAGACATCCTGGGCTGATCGGAGGTTAGCATCGACTGCGCGACAGTGAATGAGAAACAATAGGTAGGCTGGGAATTGATTATGAAGGGACTTGAAAGTGAAGACAAAGTAATTTATGTATGATACCAAAGAGAAGGGAGATACAATGGAGGGATATAAAAACCGGGGTGATATGGTCAAAGGGACGGGCTAGGAAAATGATATTGGCAGCAGCAGCACTCTGAATGTAGGAGTAAAATACTGCGGGCTTGATTTGATCTCATTCACACTGCTTTACATCACAGTAGCTCCACTGATTTCACTGGAGTTACTCCTAATTTACAGAGGTGCAAGTGAGATCAGAATCAAGCCACATGTGATATTCTGTCTTGACAATGAGACATCATGCTTGCAGATAACACTCAGTAAATTATAAATGTAATTTTGCTTTTCACTTTCAGAAATGGATCTCTTTAGAAGCAAGTACAAAGAATCATAATAAGAAAAAGGAAGGAAGTAGGAAAGGGAAAGAGAATTAATGGAGAAGAAACAAAAGAAACAAATTATGTATTTATGTATTTATTTATTTGGCATTACATGTCAGTGAATCAAAATCAGCTTAATCTATTTTAAACAATAAATCATGTGAAATACTTACACCAGGAGTTAAGAACAAATTGAGGTTTTTGTGGAGGAGAACTTGATTCTGAGGATTTCCTCGACAGAAATTCTGAAGGAAAGTGTGGGCTAGATTCATAACTTCATTCATCTTTTCATCAGTCTACAGGTAAAAACATCAAACATCAAAAGGGGAAAAAATAAAACATGTTTGCTAAACCTCCACAACACAATCTGATCAGTAATGTACCAATTCTCCTCCAATTTCCTGTGCCTTCCAAAGATGGCAACTCTCCCTCTAGCAAGAATGGCTGAAGCCATGTTCTTCAGAGTGGCATGACATGCTGTAATTCCCAGTGCTCCTGTCTGCCCTTTTTTGTTTGTGACTTGGTTTTATTTTGGCTCTACCACTAGATAATATAATATAATAGAGTACATCAAAAATAATAAAGCTAAGGACAAGATTTTCTAACGAGTACCTAAATTTAGGCTCTTAATTCCATATTTAGGCTCCTATCAAGTGCCTGATTTTCAAAAGTACTGTGCATCCCATAGCTCCCACTGACTTTTAAAAATCAGACCAATTAGGTGCTTAAATATACATTTAGGTGACTAGATTTAGGCACCTATTTTCTACACTTAGAATAACACGTTAACGAGCATGTGGTGAGCCATTCTATGAACAAGTGTTACAGCTACTATCCTACTGAAGAGAACTGAACCCAGTGTCAAAGTCTGAACAGCAGATCATCAAATTCAGGATAATGTAAATGGAGATCACAAATATATTCATGACTTTTTTTAGTGCTTACTACAGATGGATGCACCTAGTTTTCAAACAAGGGCTCCTGAAAAGGACATCGAGATCCTTCATTTTGGTGGTCAGATCAGTAAACTGGGGCCAAATCATGCTATCCTTTCTGAGGCAAAACTTTGGAGTTTAGCAAAAGCAGGGACTTCATAAGGATTACACGGTTTGGTCCTGAGACATATAAATGCCCATGTTATGTACGTACAGTGCCAATCTGAGCACCCAAACCTGTGCATCCTGCTGTGGGGTTTCATTTAGTCAATGCCTGTCCCTTCTCCCCCAAAGTGACTGCTGTACTACAGGATCTCTTATTCAGAAAGTGTGAGAAGACACCACCTTTATTTGGAGTATCTGGGGTGATGAATATTTATGGTTTTCAATTACGTCCTCAGTATTTCAGCACCCATACTTAAAAATTCAGCTTGGCTTCCTTATTCTCAAAGTAGAGAATTAGGATATCATGATTTTGAGTCTGCTCCAAAGCCCACTGAAGTCAATGGGAATCTTTCCAGTGATTTCAAAAGGCTTTGGAACAGGTCTTTTAGGACTGTCCGATCAGTGACTTCCTATACTTACTAGAAGTATATATTCGTCTAACCTTTTCATAGGGTATCTGCAGGAGGTCCAGCACCACTGAGTGAGCTCCCATATTTTTCAGCAATCGCTGCTGCTGATTCCGACATTTTTTATTCTGGACACAGAGTTTGCTGAGTCTAATCAAAATCTGGGGGAAGAAAAAAAAAAAAAGAACTCAAAGCCCCCCCACAAAACTCAAATGTAAAGGATATAATGTGCCATAAAAACAAATATGAATCTACAGCACCTCATTTGTAGGTATACAAACCTCCTTAACAATGTTGTAATTATTACTCTTATTGCTGTCAATCTGAGGTTTTTTGGTCCCATCCTGTACTGGGCTTAAAATATTCGGTTCCTATAATTCAAACACAACCACAAATGGTTTTTAGTGCAGTTGACTGAATATCAGCGAACTATTTTTAACAACAACAAATAAAGAAGAGGAGCAACAAGAACAGGTAAGAGCAAAGTGGAAGTATAGAGTAGAGGAACGATGGTCCAAAGGCCAGGGTGCAAGCCTGGGACTCGGGAGATCTGGGTTTAATTCCTTCCTCTGCCACAAATGTCCTGTGTGATCTTTGGACAATTTACTTTGTCTCATTTCCTCATAATAATAGCACTTCCCTACCTCATAGGGGTGTTATGAGGTTAAACGTACTAAAGGTTGTAAAGTGCTTAAATGAGATAACAATGGGAGCCATGAGTACCTTAGATAGATAGTATTTGGTCCAACCCTATTTCTAATGCGCCTGGAAAGATTACAGACTGAAGTTAAGTGAGTGTAACACAGCAGATCTGGAGAATAAGATGAAGACAACCTTTGTAGTTGAGATAAATAGATTTTTTTTTCAAAAGCATGAAGAATTTAAGGTGCATGGAGGTTGATAATCTGGCGCCAGCCTGCCACCACGAGGATTGAAGATGTTCCTCCAGTAGAGGTGACGCTTCAACATTCATCTCTGGGTGATGTGGAAATGGATTTAAAAGCGGAAAACGTGACCCTCCTGTTGAGCTGGGAGGTTTACTTGGGATAACATTGCTAATAAGCCTAAACTGGGGACACCGATTCCTCAAAAGCCCCATCTGTGTGTGATTAGAAGGGGAAGCCATAAATTTAAGGCTTACAGTCGATAAGCAGTTGCCATCAGCCACTGCTCTCTCCACCCACATTCCAATAAAGAGAGCGGATACTGAAGCAAGTATTCCTGCTGGGTGAATTGGCAGTGATGCTCTGTGCCACCTGTTCTGTTCAGTGTTTCTATTCTGGCAGCACAGCGGTCTGAAAGATTGGGCCATGATGTTGAGGGCACTGAATCTGGAAGAAAACAGGTGGTGGAGGTCTCACGACTCCTCCTCAGTATCACTATTAGGACGAAAACTACTGTAAATCACATTGAAGAGAATGAAGCAGATAGGATTCTGAGTTTCCCTCTGTCCTCAAACTTTCTAATGTTTTAGTGAATGGTTACATTAAAAAAAAACCCCACAAACTAATTTGAATTTGAAACCTCTTTCTGAATTTTCTTTACCTGGCTGCTACAATTAGGAGTTCAATAAATTCAATCTGATCTTAATTTCTAGAGGAGCAAGGAGCAGTTATGCTGCTCGGCCATTCATGACAGTTCCTAACAATGTCAGCACTGTTATTTGGCATGTTTGTGTTGATCTTTGCAACAACAACAGACTATTATTTGTTTAGGGTTTGTTAGTATGCATGTTGCCTCCTTACTAGCTGTTTGGATTGATGTTGTGGAAGATATTTTAGGTTCTTTGCTATAATTTAACCACTGTCCTTTGCCCTGGGACTGTTAGTTAACCAAGATTAATTTACCTGTTACGTTTATCAGCATTTTTCCTCAGTCAAAGTAGTTTTATAATCCGTGAAAACTATACGTCTTATCTGGAAGTGCTGATCAGCATTAAACTAAATCCATCCTCTCTCTTAACAAAATAAAAACTGTTTATTGAACCTGTAAGAGTATTCCAGGGATGTAGTTATCAAGAGATAATCACACCACTGGGACATCAGAGGCATTTGGTTGCATATCTTGCCTCATTATGCCCTGTGATAGACGTTCTCTGTCATGCTTTCCCACAGGGAGCAAAGAAGTCACTGAGCCTGTACTAATCTATGTTCTATTCTGAATAGCTGTGTTGTTAGAGAGTGGGAATTTCTAAAAATGTCTCCTTGCTTTCTTTGTAAAATTCACAGGCAATTACTACTGTATCATCAGTTATAGGATCCTATCCTACAGCCCTGAGCCAGGGCCAGATTCTGCCACTCTTACACTGACTTATACTTTGCTACTGAAATAGGCTCATTAAATTTCCGTGGGACTACGGATGGCATGTTACTGTTCCATACAAGTAAGGGTGGCACAGTCCAGCCCTCAGTGAGCAGTGCTTACTCACTACATGAGTAAAGCTTGTAGCATTGGGCCCATAACCCTAAAATATACATAATGCTTGAAATTAAATGTTCCCCAAAACATACTCAGGGCAACAATCAAACCTATCAGAAGCCAGAGCAGGGGCAGAGTGGGAGAACTCTGAGGTGCCTAAAGATTTCTCTATACATGGAGTTATAATTATTTCTACATAACTACTCCTGAAAAACTATGTATGGGCACACTGATTCCAGAATAAGAGCATCCACATATGGAGTTAAGAAATAGCTATTGAACTTTTAAATTCACATGCTACCTTAATCCAAATTAACCTACAAGTGTAGACAAGACTTAAATGCTGTCTCTTCCATTCAAGTGACAAGGGTGGCCAAGTGTCCTGCACTGAATTTCAGGCCTGGCATACGCCATAAAGTTCCACTGACATAGCCGTGTTTGAGAGCAGTGTGAAAAACTCACACCCCAAGGTGACACGGCTGGGACAGCAGAACACCTAGTGTAGACACATCTGAGCTGAAAGAAGAGTGCTTTTGTACAGTTAGCTAAAGTAGTTTGGGGAGCTGATCTTATTAAGTAAGCAGAAGAACTCCTGTCAGCGTACATAGTATCTACAGTAGGGAGCTATGCCAGCATAGGCTCTATTTCATAGAGATTATTATTTCCCCCTCACACCCCTTATAATTTTCCCTGTGTGATTTGTGGTTATGGCATCATTGTTGGGCCTCACCCTGCATTGCCTGGCAGTTGGTTCCATCATCTTGTTCTGAAGATATTTTCTATAATCCCCTGTATCTAAGGTAACTACATGAGAATCGAGATCTGGATAGAAGTGTAGCACCACCCAGCATGACTGAATAACGGTCCTTTACCTCCTTCCCCTTTCTCACATCAATGCTCACTTTGGGGTTGGCCAAAGTTTTGGGGAAGTCTATTCTTTCCCTCCTCTTCAAGCTTGCAATAAAGTCACTGAAATAATGAAAGTGTGACCTCTGGATCACCGGCACGGCAGCAGTGATGTCACAAACAGATCTGTGGCACTCCCGCTGGACCAAACTGAAGGAGACTCCCTCGGAGATAATATAGCTCTTATTAAAGCACCTTTGGTTTTGTCTTTTTCCCCTCTTTAATACTAAAGCTTGCCCAGCATTTTGGAGATCACCTGCTTGCTAGCAGCACCATTTTGAATTTCTAGTTTAATAATATGTTAACTATATAGGAACACAGGTGGCCTAGGGCTTTAGAAACACACCTCTATCGGTTCTTCACCCCCTTTCGCCTGACTGTCACCTAGCTCCCCACTCTCGTAGCTGCTGCTCTTTTCGACCCACAGTTCAGATTTTTCTACAGTCAGTCGGAGCTGGTCAAGATCAGCTTTGATTTGCTTGTAGTTGTCCACATCCTGATTAGACACCAGTAACTGGACCTGGAAACACAGTAATCCACAGTTATATTACAGCAGAGCCAGCTGCAGCCTCTACAGTCAAGTTTGTTTAATAGTTTTCATTTTAATGCCCTGGTTTCACTCCCTCGTGACCTTATGAAATTATCAGCATCTTTGGAACTGAAATTTTCCATCCTTAGTCTCTTTGGCCGCAGATGAGCGAAGCCCTAAATCACATACTTAAGTCAAACTGAAGTTATTGCCACTGAAGACTGTTTTGCCCAAAGCAAAATGGTTACAATGTTTAAAACATTCCGCTTCCTTTATCATCATGCTGCAAAATGTTTGCAATGTAAACCACTGTCTATAAACCCCTGAGATCTATGGCAGAGCTAACGGGGACACCAGGATTATGCTCCTTCTGGTATTAAAAGAATATAGTAAGAAGCAGTTTATCCCATGTAAATAATATTTCATGGAAAGACAAGATTGACATTACAAGAAATCAAGAGATCCAAACGTGAACTGTAGAGATAGTCAACATTTTCCAGATATTGAAATTTCAGTATAAATTTCATCAACATTTTGACTAAAAATGGAAAAAACAAAATGTGTGACCTAATTTTCATTACCACCTATAGGAAACCACACCTAAGTCTCTTTCAGCACTGATGCTTGACAGGTCTCACATCATTTACCCCCCGTTATGACAGCTTGCATTTTTCAAGATGAATCTGTTTTTTCATTTCCTGCCCATATATCTAATCCTTCTTTCTGCTCATTGGTGTTCATAAGTCCTCCGATTTAGTATCATCTTTAAAGTTCCTTATTAGGCTATTTGCTCCCTCTCCTAAATTATTAATGAGGAGATTAAAACAAAATTTGACCTAACAATGATCCCTGTATAACCCAATAACCGCCATTAAGAAATCAGACTGATGTAAAAGAAAATGCAACATCAAGTTAATATGGTCATATGGCAGATAAGAACATGGATAATATATTTTTTAAATGGCTGTTCGCAGACAAATATTCACTATTTTATAATATAATCTTGAAGTTCTCATAGGCTGCTTGCTTAACAGCATACAGCCTTGTTATCCTACTGAATTGATGAGTGCTGCTCGTCCACACATATTCACATTCCACTTCCTCCACAGCCTTTTTTGTTTATTTGCCAATTAGACTTTTCCTTTCTTTTACAAAAAACATTTTAGGTACGCAACTCTCACTTAACTGGGAATAGCAGCTATTTATGCACCTAATCAGCATGGTCCCACTTTAATATCCTGGCGGGAGGCCAGTATGCAACTCCGCAAAAGTATTACAACAAAGGCTTTCCAGCTATTTATCATTTGCCTGGTTTTATGACAAGAAAAACCTCCACCTTTTACATAATGAGGTGGCAACATGCTAGTGAACTCCTGAAATAAGCATCAAATGATCTAAAAAAAAGTAAGTTATCAGTCACCATAACCAAGAGAGTCCTCTATTATCCAACCCCATTACATCAGGTTTCTTAATACTAATCTATTAACATGTTAACACCCCCACTTCTGTATAAATATTTATCTAGTAGCCAGAACAACAGCTGAGTACTCTGCCTGGTTCTGTTATTCACTTGCTGTTCTGTGTGACCTTGGGCAAGTCACTCAGGCCTACACTGTCAACAGCAGCTCCAATTCCAGGGGTCTTGGTTTTGGGTGTCTGACTTGAGACACCTCAAGCTTGGCTCACTGAGGTGCAGCTGTGTATGTGCAGCTCCCATGGAGCAAGGGGGCTGAATTTGGACTTTCAATTTACAAGGAAGGGACATTCTAATACTGTAACTGGCAGTTTAAGTGAGACTACTAGACTTTGAGACGACTTTCTTTTTCCTCACACAGTAGATTTCATGGAACACCATTGGACCTGTACCTGTTTAAATGCTTGCAAAACTTCTGCTCTTTGGCTGAAATGCTTAAATAGCAGCTGTAGGGCCCCTGACAGCAAAGGAGGGTAGTCATGCATGATAAGATGAATGAGGACTCGTAGAAATGTTCTGCCCCCCTCGTCATCAAGTTGCACTGGATTTTTTTCTTTTCTGCAAAAGCCCAAATAAGTTAAAACCTGTGGTGTAACACACACACACACACACACACACACACACACACTTCGATGGCACTCTTAAAACCAAACAGGACAAACTGTGAGATGTAAATTAAAAACCCATTTTAGTTCATTTTATGGGAGCTTCAATGTAAGGGTTATTTTCTTTGTGGCAATCTGATGCTTGTAACAGAATGGCCAGTACTGGCTGTAAGTAAATACGTATGAAATGCAACACACACTGTGATTAAGTTCCATTTTGCAAACACATCAGTTTACATCTGGGTGACCAATTCATCACTGGTACAAGCCCACCGAAGTCAATGGAGTTGCACCAGAGATGAATTTGGCCCTGTCCTTTTTATTCCTTCCCCTATCCGCTGCTGCTAAAATTTAATGTAGGAAAAATGAACTTTAAAAAACCAGTAAAAATTGCCAAAGGCATCATATTTCTGGATCATATTTATAATCTGGAAGGACAGCAAGCAGATTTACACTTCGCATATCAAAGCAGAAATAATGTTTCCAAGAAGCCATTCACACTCAGTGTTCAATTGAAAGATACAGGTGCCAAGAGCCACACCAGAACTGTGTGTTGTTTTTCATTATGGGAGTTCAGGGACAGGACTGAAGACATTCCTCTTGTTGGCAAAGACTAAGAACACACAGGGGACATACTCAGTGAGGAAAGTTAAGAACACCCATCTCAGACATCTTTCCCCCTTCTCCTGAGCTCTGGGAAAATCTTTAGAGTCTAGAGGCTTGTCTACACAGGAAATGTTTCCAGTTATACTAAGGCTAGGTCTACACTGGGGCGGGGGGGAGGGGAAATCGATTTAAGATATTCGATGTATCCGAGCCGACTTACCCCGCTGTGAGGACAGCGGCAAATCAACCGCCGCAGCTCCCCCGTCGACGGCGCTTACTCCTACCTGCGCTGGTGGAGTATGCGCGTCGATTCGGGGATCGAGTATCGCGTCCCGACGAGATGCGATAAAT